AGCACTAAGAAGCTAAAGCCACTTCCACATGAGTTCTATCCCCCCCTGCCCACATGGTGCAGCAGACCTCTCCTGACCCGCCCACTGCTCTCCTCAGCAGTATATGTACTTCGTCGATCTGCCTGTTCTGCTCCCCACTCTGTCTCTGGTGAAGCCACCCCTGAGCCTCTGGCCTGTACCCCCAGTTCTGTGTTCTGTATGCACAAAAAATCTAAAAAAAAAAAAAATATATATATATATATATATATATATATATATATATACACACACAAATGTTCATAGCAGTTCATTTTAAAGCCAAAACCTGGAAACAGTGAAAATATTAAACAACAGATGAGTAGACAAATTGTAGAATGACATCATTAAGGTGGCAACTTATATAGATCCCAAAATTCAATCCCCCTTATAAGACCAACTAATAAATCTCCATAGACAAGATACCATTGTGAAAGTCCCAAACCCTGGAGGTTGAAGCTCCACAAAAATCAAGAAAGACAGCATTAGAATAGTAAAAGAAAGTGAAAAAAAAATATACACTTGCTCACCATAGGATTACAATTCTACAGTAAGCAGCTATTCCCTTTTAAAGAAACACATTGTTAAAACTGGAAATATTGACCAAATTAAAACTGAAAATATAAAAAAAAAAATAAAAGAGTAAAAGAAATTATATCTACTAACACCACTACCCCTCCTCCAGGCAAGCATAGCACCACACCGGAAGAGGTCCCTGATCCTGTTTCTCCAGTGGGAAGAGAGAGCACTAAACGGACACCCAGCTATTGTAGGACAGTTCCCAGAAGGCCAACTAAGATTTTACCTCTTAGAGATCACTGGGAAATATGGGGGTCTCAACCACTGGATATTGGATAACGATGAAGGAGGAGGACAGGGCTTATAAAAACCATCTTGCAGGCCCTCCCTGGTGGCACAGTGGGTTAAAGCACAGCACTAAGAAGCTAAAGCCATTTCAGATGAGTTAGGTCTCGCCCCAGAGGTAATCCACAAGGTGAGGCAGACCTCTCCTGGCCCACACACTGTTCCCCTCAGTAGTGTACTTCATCAGTCAGCCTGTTCTGCTCTCCACTCTATCTCTGGTAAATCCTCTCTCTGTCCCTGCACTCTGGCCTTTACCCCAGTTCTGTATGCATAAATAAATACATCTTTTTTAAAAATCACCTTGCAAATATCAGCCTACCACATTCCTGCTTGCAGTTAACATAAAGAGATCCCAGCAAATGACTGCCCATCTACAGATCCAAATCAGTTACAGATGGCCAGGAAACTCATTGGCAGTTTTGCCTGATTTGGATCTCCCAGTCAACAGACCATACTGCCTGTAGAGCCCATTTACCAATCAACCAGGGTAGGGAAAAAATTTGCAGCTCCACCCAACTGCTTGAGTTGGCTTTAGGTCACAACTATCCAGGAAGACTAACTAGAAAAGCTGGGTAGCAAAGGAGCCCATTCCATAGTCTCATTTGGGCAGATACAAAGCCCTGCCAGCTACTGAGCACAGCCTCTGCTCACAGATAACCATGAACCCTCCTGGCCTTATTGACTCAGAACACAAGCAATCGCCTCATCTAACTAGAAATCCTGATAGCAAGCCCTGTCTACTACTCAAAGATGCTACCAGTTGATCTGTCCAGTATCCCAGACTGAGCTAATCTCTGAAGATAGTGCTCTGATGAAGCAAGCCTTTGAGGTCTGGAAGAGAAGATTATTTATTCAAATTTGCAGATATCTATGTAAGGAACCAAGGATCATTAACAATCAGGACACCACCAAAGCAAACTAATAAAACTCCAGTAACTGATTACAAAGAAATGGTTATCTATAAACTATTTATGTGACTTTCAGAATAATTTTCTTTAAAAAGTTTAATGAACTTTAAGGTTAAACAGACAACAAAACAAAATTAAGAAAACGATGCATGAACAAAAATGAGTTGAACAAATACAAAACATGAAAGAAAAAAAAAGACACCAAAATCCTAGATCCTATACATCTGAGTTAAAAAACTTATCAAGTTCAAAAACTAAAAGAAAAAATACCATATCAAGAGAAAATACATGCACATTACAGAAACCAAGAAGAGAAAAATGAAGGGATAGGAAATACATTTAAATCAACTTTAAAATAATTTTTTTGTCCCTCTCAGTTTGAGTGAGAGGCTTCATAAAAACAATGGTGACTTCAAAGTCAACCTAGTTGGTATCCCAGTAGTCCAGAGCAAGGCCCTGGTCATGTTTCAAACTGAGGAAGTGAAAAAGCAAGGTCCACAACACTGTAGGACCTGGATTTAGGGAATCTGAAATCACCAGCTCAGCCACACAGCAGGGAAACTAGGAGTCCACTGAAGCACCAGCCATTTCTTCACACCCCCTGCAGCCCCTTTCCTTGGCTGCCTTGCCCATTTCCCTTGGGACACACCATAGGACAGTCCCACCTGGGCCACTTACATTCTAGAAACCCTAAAGGACAGTACTACCCTTGAAGTAGTTTGACAGGTACAAATTGCTGACTTTTAAAGAAGCTGCTTAAACATGACATTTGTCTAAAGCACCTATCCAGTATCTGGTACCATTTGGGATTGCGATATACAGTGTCCAAACTAGACAGCGAATGCAATAGCAGAGGGCCAAGCTTCTACCTCTACAATCTGGGAAGAAATGACGGCACTTTCTCAACAAAAATATGCATTGCATCCCAAATCTACTGTCAGGTCAATGTCAAGCATGTTCTTTGCTTTGGAGGTAGTATAATGCTCTGTCTTCTTCAGGGGCCATTGGGTGACTGAAAGGCAGAATTTGAATTGACAATAACTCAATTGCAGGAATTGCACAAACAGCAAAAGATGCTGAAGATGCCAGAAGTTTCAATGAAGGGTGTTGTTGAGGACAGCTGTGGCAAAGGAAATAATAGCCATGGTTGGGGAGTAAATAGGGGTGTGATTCCAGAACTTGGTTTATTTAATTTAACCTCATCAAAATAATAATTTAATCTCATCACTATTTATATATGTAACTGTTTTTGACTATAAAAAGGAACCATATACACCTATTGTATTTGACTAGCACTCCATTTTTATGATCTCATTTAACCTTAATTACCTCCTTAAAGGTCTTTTTTTTTTAAGATTTATTTATTTATGCACACAAAACTGGGGTATAGGCCGGAGGTGCTGGGGTGGTGAGAGGATTCACCAGAGTGAGAGTGGGGAGCAGAACAGGCAGACTGACAAAGTACACAACATACTGATGAAGTACACAGCTGAGGGGAGCGGCGGGCAGGTCAGAAGAAGGCTGCCATGCCATGTGGGTCATCTTCCTGCTCAAGGATCAAATTTGCACCAGGGCAGCTGTGGCCAGCTTCACAGTGCTGTGCTTTAACCCATTTCACCACCAGGGAGGGCCCCTTAAAGGTCTTAACTTCAAATGCAATTATATTAGGATATGTGAAATTTCCAATGTGAGTCAATCTGTGAGTTATGGGGGCATACAATTCAGTCCATAATACCAACAGGTCCTTATTATGCCAAATGAAAAGGCTTCTACTATACTTACTCACCTAATATTTTCATTGCCCATTTTGACCAGCATCTGACAGTATTATGTATACTTTTTGAGGGACAAACATCTGCTCTTGTCTACCCAGAAATTCATTGAGTAACCTGGAAGTAATGTAATCTGCACCAATAAAACCAAATTAGCACTCCTTTTATTTCATATCATAAGCTAGGACTGTTTTACTATAAATTCACTTATATAATGACAATACTCTGGAACTTAGTAAAATTATATTAGCAATTTGTTTTTCATTTCAATTGCCCATTAGCCACAGCCAATAACCTCTATTTCTATTAATCACTATAACAGAAGAGTCACTCAGACAAAGGTATAAACTTTTTATTTAAAGTTAGACTTAAATAGAAATTAAATAAGCACAATATATAATACTAAGCCTTCATAAAGCATAACTACTTTAAAAGTCACTATTTCTACAATAAAATGGAAGCCAAATCTAAAAATACCCCAATAATCAAATTATTTTTAAGATCTATGTCAACATTAAAATTATTATAAAACATTCAAAGAAATGTAATTAGTAAATGAAAGAAGTGGAGTTATTCCTGTTATCTACTAAAATCAATTATGGAATTAAAATTCAGTATGATTTCTAATAATTAACAAATTAAAAGCACCTCATTTAAAAAAAGACAATTATCTATTTCTAATGAAGGTTGTGAGGACTACTTTGTTTACCTGACTTTTAAACTTAATATGGCACAATAGGTTTGATCAGTGAAAGTGATATTAAAAATGTTTAGGATGTTCCTTATTGTTCCTTTCTGCTTTACTTCATGAATGAGGTATTATATGTAAAAATTAAAACAATATAATAAATATCCATATATATATTAAACTTGAAGGCTCTTCATTTGTGAATGAGAAATTGACCAGGCTCTATTTTCTTTTTACTATGCCTTAATTCTCCAAAGTCAGGTTTTACATTTTATATTATCTTTATATATCAGACACTAAGAATTTGCACCAAAAATGTACCAAGGGAGATAGCATATCATAGTCTACACTGTTTACGAAAATAGAGGAATTAAATTTAAGTAGGTAACAGGAAAAGACACTATTATGGTGTTTGTATATTTAAAATAATCCAAAACAAATAAAAACTCACATCCTACCCTCGAGAATGGCACCCAGGTTATTAAAAAATAAAGTTAATCTGCATATACGCAAACATGTGGCTGGATAAATGAAGATTTTCCTAAAACATGCATATTATGAGGCCTTTTATAGTTAAACTTATAAGACCAAACTATAATGGTGCGTGTATCTGCTGTCATAAGAGTTTTCTGCACATCTGTTGTTCCATAAAACTGAAAATGGAATTTAATCACATTCATCATTTCACTAGAAATTCTTACATATCTCAGCAATCTTACACTTCCTGTTGTTAAACAAATGGACTCCAAGACATACTTTTAAAAATTTTTAATTTCTACTCTTTTTACAACAAATCATATTTCTTGGAAATTTCATTCAGGGTTTAGAATAAATTATTTTCTCCAATCAATGTTACCTCGAGGTATAGAATTCTAACTCTCTTAGAACATTTTTCTCTTTCAAAGAGAATGGAAAATATGTAACTTCCTTACTGGCTCACTAACTCTAAAGATTAATAAACAGTATGTAAAAAAATTGGACTATAATAACTAAGTTTCATGGTTTATTTACTACTATCAGTAAGATCAGATAAATCATTTAATTTCTTAGGACATAAAGAGTTTCATTTTTAAGATAGATATTAAAACAGATGATTTAATTATCCTTTCAATTCTCACATGATATAATTCTGTGCTTCTGCAGGATTAATATATTGATTTTTCCATAAATCAAGCATATGTGAACTAAAGTAGCAAGTTGAATTGAACCTTTCTGTTACAAAGATTGTTTAAGCACAACTCCCCAAACTTTTATTAAGCTCATTCATTTCCTCTTTAACCAGACCAATAAGTAGCCCAGAGTTAGAACCAAGTATCTTAATGACTTAAGTTGTTTTTAAATTACATTGAAGACCTATTAAAATATATTAAGTCTATCCAAGTTTCCTATATTCTAGTTTACATTATTTTCATTCTATCTACATTCAAATAATCTGTACAGTTAAGGTAGGGGACTGTTTAGTATTCTTGCACTTCAAAACACTAATAAAAGTTACATAGAATGAATAACAGAATATTAGTCATTATTATATTCTGGTTTTTAAATAAAAGATGCTAAATATTTATTGGCTAGAAAAACAAAGCAAAAGCAAAAAGGGAACTCTTGCTGACAAATACTAATGTTCAAAATAATGTAGTTATCAAAGGAAACTAACAAACAAAACAAAAAAAGGAAACAAGCCCTTAGACTAATACCAAAATGATGTTTTATGAGGGGAAAGGTGTAAGGGGTAGTTGGAGGGGATGGATAGTGAGGGCCAACTGGACACTGGTGAAGGATAATTAGAACTTTGATGGTGGGTATGGCTGCCAAGGCGTGAAGCTACACTCCTGAAATTCAGAGTATTATAAATGAATAGTAGATATATCAACTTTAAAAGAAATTCTTTTAAAATAATCACTTAGTTGTGTTTTGTCACATTTTTTAAAAGAAGGAGAAAGGTATCAGCAGACACCTGTGTAGGTAATACAGAGCCATGACACTTGGAGCTTTTATAAGAAACCAATGTACCAGGAAGTAGCTACTTTGGTAGTAGTGCAGTGCAAGCTATTCTTTCTATGGGAAGCAAATGAGGCACTTACCTGTAACATAGAAAAATAAGGTATATTTAAGAGAAATTCAAAATCATTCATAAAAGCATTGTTCAAAAAGTAAAAAATTCTGTTTGTAGTTTAACATGCATTCAATGTTACACGTGCTTCACTAGGGAAAATCCTCTTGAGTGTAAGATTGCTGTTTTGTTTATAAGAAACAGAAAATATTTCTTTCTAAGAGATTCTGGATTTCTGAGAATAAAATCCATGACTTTTCAACCTGAGTGATAAAATTTATAAGCCTTGAAAAATACATCTTACCTATACTGGAGCAATAGTTTTTGACTAACAACAGAGTATAACATGGGATCCCTGACTTTATTCTTGAAGGATCGGAAGGTTTTATTTTATATAACTTCAAACAGGAGAAGCTTCTGACTGTAACAAAATAATGAGTATATATTTAGCACCTAAATTTTGAGAACACTTAAGTATTGCCATAGTTTTAAACAGTTATAAGTCCATAGATGGGGAAATCAGACTAGAATATCCTCAAAGACTAAAAACCAAACTTGGAAAAATTTTCATCCTTCATTTGCAAATGTACCCATCTGTATCACTGAAACACATTATCATGTCTTCCTGAAGTTACAGATACATGTTCTTTTAAACAAATAAAATGAGGTTTACTTTCTTAACCACTATTATTAACTTGTTTTTCAAATGTGGCACTTTTTTCAGAGATTCAGACAGAAAATAGTTCTTTTTTAATAAGCCCCTCATATTATATCATTAGTGTTATTTTAAATGTTCTTCACCATGAGGCAGAGGTCAAAAGTGAAGTAAATGGAAAATGACTTCTACTAAAGTACATGAGCAAATATAAAGCAGGAACAAAGATGAGTATCTATTAATTTCTGGCATTTACTAGCACATAAATGTTTACTTAGAGGGTAAAAAATTACTAAATGAAAGAGAAAAAATATGCTTGTCATGTCATTACTCCAAGTGAATGGAACCTAGCCTCTGCTCTTTTCTGACCTAAGAGAAAATTCTTGGGTTGGCTCTTTAAATAACCTTGATTTGAACCTGAAGTAACACTGCTTCATATGTTAGAGCTGATACATGATATTAACTAGAGTTGTACATGAGACAATTCAATTATCCTCACTGAAAAAGTCTATAATCTTACCTTTCCCCTTATTTGCTATAATAACAAGGCTTTCCTTCAGTCATAAGGGATGAAAAATAGTCTGCTTAAAAATTATGTTTTTACTCCAAGAAAGCTGGCAAATTTTAATAGTTCATAATTCTCATATTTGCCCTTTATATTTAAGAAACTGTATTCCTTACTACAAAATTAATTTCCTCACAGAATTTTCCTCACAGAAGAAGTACTTATTTTAAGGTAGAACTTCTATCTTCTTTAAAATATTCTAGTTTATTTCTGAAAGGAATTTACTTCAAAAGAAAAAGGAATACTGTTAATGCATTACAGTTATTAAGAAATAAAGTGCATACATCTTTCAGTTCAACTATCTGATGCATTACAGCTAAGCAAAAGGCAACAAAATAAAAATAAAGATGCAGCTCTGTATCTGGAATACAGAAAATATGAGATAAGAATACAAATTCTATATAAATAGTAATAAAATTGGGAGGATATTCCCCTTCAGAAAGCAACTAAAAATATTAAGAAAAAATTAAGTGGACTTCTGCTTCCCAAGTAACCAGACACGCTACACAGTAATACCAACATGTAATACCTGAAATGTAGAATCACATTCTGGCTGCTGCTCTTGAACGTCTGCATTTAATTCACAGTTCTCTGATGTCTGGCTGATATCAGCTTGCAAAGAAGGAGAGAGGCCATGAGCATCATCTACAGAAGCATTATCAGACAAGGCATCTAACTTTTCAGGGGAATGAGCTATGCAAAGTTTATTATCTCCTGTCCCTTCATCAAAATTTGTCCTCTCATCAGCATCTTCTAGCTGTTGAACTGAAGTTAAATACTGTTCAAGCAGACTATTTTCCTGCTCATTGTTTGAGTTTTCCTTACTCCATTCATCATGTTCTTCACTAACATCCCCTAAATCTGACTCTTTGCCATATCTGACTGTGTCAATGGAATTCCCCATTATGGAACTTTCACTGCCTTCTGTAGAACTTTTTTCAAAATCCAAAAATTCCTGCAAACGATGAACTTGTTCTGTTAGGGAGGAATGAAAACCAGAGTCTGGAAATTCAGGTAAGGATTTCTCTTGAGGAACTTCATCAGGAGCAATGAACCAATCAGAATTTTGATTAGAAGAAGGTTCCTGACTTTGGGTAAACAATGGAAGTTTAGATGGCCCCAGAGTACTTGATATAGGAGGAATATCAGTGTGCCAAGAACTTAGATGCTGATCCACTGTCTGCTGCCAAGCTTGTAGAGATCTTACCTATAAAAAAGGATATAGTTGGTTTACAAAAATAAAATCATGCCTGTTTTACCGATGTGCTTTGAGGGTTTTCTCCAACATTCATGACGCTGGTGAATAATAGAAGGTGGAACTCCCATTACCATTTCCACACATAGCACTCCCAATCTAAACCAGACTGGCTGGAGTAATACATGTCCTTGGTAACAAAATGACCTCATCAGGAACATAGCAAGGGGCAAAAACAATCCATTTGCTTTTACCGAAAAAACATGAGAAGCAAAACAACAAAGGTCTAGCTCAATACCACATGAGACCTACTGAATAAGAGATTAGAACTTAGTAATATTAAATGGATTCTCTAAAATGACTCATTTTAAATATTTACTTGGGATCAAGAGTTTTGAAATATTATCTAACAATGCAGTATACAAAACTAAAAAATAGCTTAAGTTCTTGATAATAAGACCTTGATATTTTTTAAATAAAAAATCTCAATTTTTACTGTAAAATCTCCAAAAAGATAACAAAGAGAGAGTTTTTTTAGTTTCCCTTTGACCACCCTAGTCATTGATAGCTATCTATATGTATATATATATATCATCTTTGACCTTTTATCATATATTTTCAAAGACACACAGAATTTTAAAAACCAGTTAGGTCTGGATAGTTTTTACCATGAAGTAGAACCCAATCTTCAGCAAGTAGTTTGTTTAGTTTAGTTTAGTTTTTTTTAAGGACTTGTTTATTTATGCATATAGAACTGAAGCTAGAGGTGCAAGGGCAGTGTGAGGATTCACCAAAGGCAGAGAAGGCAGCAGAACAGGCAGATGGACAAAGTACATTGCTGAGGGGAGCAGCAGGTAAGACAGATGAGGTCTGCCATGCCATGTGGGTCACCTTCCTCTCTAGGGATCAAACGTGTGCCAAAGTGGCTGTGGCTAGCTTCACAGAGCTGTGCTTTAACTTGTACCACCAGGGAGGACCCTGTTTAGTTTTGCTTTAACCATTCATTTTTTATTGATAAAATAGTCTTCTGTGCAGTTTGTCTTATCAGACACAAATTTAGATTCAACTAAAAGAAAAGTATAGAATAAAAACTGTCATACCAACAGTCTTTAAATATCAAGCTCTTAAAATCATATCCAAACATGTTCAATAGACAATTATTTTTGTCTATAAAAATAATTATTTGTCTGGCCCTCCCTGATGGCACAGTGGGTTAAAGCACTGCACTGAGAAGCTAAAGCCACTTCCCCATGAGTTCGATTCCCGCCTGCCCCGGAGGTGACCACATGGTGCGGCAGACCTCTCCTGACCTGCCCACTGCTCCCCTCAGCAGTGTACTTCGTCAATCTGCCTGATCTGTTCCCCACTCTGTCTCTGGTGAATACTCTCACCGCCCCTGCACCTCTGGCCTGTACCCCAGTTCTGTATGTACAAATAAATAAATCTTTAAAAAAAATAATTATTATTATTTGTCAAGTAGTACTTAATAATAAAGCTGCCTAACTGACCTGCCTCACTTATTTTCTTCAATTCTGACTTGGGATAAAAACTATGTGAATGAATGTGCCATCAAACTAAGGGACACTTTCCCAAAGCCAATTATTTAAAAATAAGAAAAGTTTTAAAATAATACAGTCATTTATAAAATAAAATATCAACTGGGCCCTCCCTGGTGGCACAGAGGGTTAAAGCACAGCACTAAGAAGCTAAAGCCACTTCAGCATGAGTTTGATCCCCACCTGCCCTGGAGGTGACCCACATGGCGTAGCAGACCTCTCCTGACCCACCCACTGCTCCCCTCAGCAGAGTACTTCATTGATCTGCTTGTTCTGCTCCCCACTGTCTCTGGTGAATCCTCTCACCTCCCCTATACCTCTGGCCTGTACCCCAGTTCTATATGCATAAATAAATCTTTTTTAAAAAATCAACAATATTGAAAAAAATAAAATAAAATATCAACTAAGGCTCCTGGATGAGAAAATAAAAATCAATTCATGTTGGGGCCTTTTTATTCAATCAGCCTCAACAACCCTAATTACTTTAGAAGAAATCTGAAGTGAAAGCAGTTTTGAATTTTACTAATATATTAAATTACACATAAACATTATAATATGAAGTAGCATTTAATATATGAACTCAATTTTCTGTTGTGCAAATTTTATATGTATTTAACATAAATTAAATATATATATTTAATAACCTTTGTTTTCTTGCTCAAGGTGAAATATGCAGCCCTGCTGCTTGTCAATTTCAATGGCTTTTCTGCCATTTCAGTTATCTAGTCTACATGTGTTTGTACTTCTCAGAGTGTTGTTCTTCTACCTTCAATAGACAGAAGAGCATCTTTTTTGCTAGTCATTAGCAATCAAAATAACTTGTTCTTTATTAGTTTCAAGGCTGATTGAAAGGCTACTGTTATTCTAGGCATCTATGTAATTTTTTATTCTCCTGTTGCAGTTCTCTGATTTGTGTGTTTTCTTGCTGGATTCCCCTAACTAATGTGGAGCACAGTCAATGTCTTGCAACTACATTAAGTTCTTTTTCTTTTTAAAGATTTATTTATTTATGCATACAGAACTGGGTTACAGTCCAGAGGTGCAGGGGCGGTGAGAGGATTCACCAGAGACAGAGTGGGGGCCAGAACAGGCAGAGCAAGGAAGTATAGTGCTGAGGGGAGCAGTGGGTAGGTCACGAGAGGTCTGCCACACCTGGTGGATCCCTGATCCCTCCCTGGCTGGGGATCAAACTCGCACTGAAGCGGCTGTGGTGAGCTCCACAGAGCTGCACTTTTACCCGTTGTGCCACCAGGGAGGGCCCAACTTTATTAAGTTCTTGAATTTCATCTTGATACTGCTTATGGCTACTACTTGCTTATGTTAAGTTATGGTTTGTTCGAACAGACTCTGATGCCTGTCAATCTTTCCACAAGAGTCTTGGTGTCAGTAAGTGCCTTCTCACTTGTGCAATTCATACCTAAAGGAAAACTGCGGCCTCCAAACAGCAGACATTAGCCATCACCTCCACAAATAGAACATCATTACCCAACGGAAGGGACCCTCCTTTCAGCAGGCAGGTGCAGAAGCCGGCAGCAGCAGCAGCAGAGGACAGCTGCGGACTCAGTACTGCCTAGCCCCATCCCAGTAGGATACCACCTCTACCGCCTGAGACATGTGCTCCCAATATATTTTTAATAAATAATGTTATTTTGAGATCTTCCCATGTCAATTCATACTACTACCATATTCTTCTGTTTCATAGTATTCCATAGTACTGTTATTCCACAATTTATTTAACTACATCCCTACTGCTATAAAACAAACAAAAAAATCAGCCATTTTTTAATTTTATGAAAATTAAAAATGATTTTCATATAAAAAAAGTTAATATATCACATTATTTTGTGAAATTATTTCCAAGGAAAAGAGAAGACTGTATCAGTGCAATTTCTTAGCAAGATGCAGCTCTCTCGCCCACCTGTGACTATATAGGTGCCTCTTTTCACCAATCTAATCCCCATGCAAAGCAGTAGAGATAGTCTTCTCTCAAGACTGCTCTCTGTGTTGATGCGTCTCTTTTATCAAGTCTACCCCTTTCAGCAGTAGCTCCTTCTGCCCACTTGTATCTTTTCAAGCATCCATTATTTCCTTTCCCTTTTATAATAAGCCTACCCTTTTGGATTTAAAAACAAAAAAGCATATATATATATTTCCAAGGAATAAGCATCAAGAAATATTTAATGGTATATAGTAAAAGCAAAAACTGATTATCCGAAAGGCTCCTACAGTGTGCTATCACAGGATTCAAACTCTCCCAAGAAATCATGCGTACTTTTTAGGTCTGAATATTGTAGCCTGCTTTAGTCATTTTTCACTCAAATACCCCCCCCCAACATAAAACAAGACAGATAGTACATAAAACTTCAAACTGGATTTTTTTATATTTCTTGTAAAGTTACAACTTTCATCAACTAAGTCACTATCCTCCAGCTGCATACCTTTCTTGTCAAAACAAAAAAGCAGTTTTCTTCAGGTTAAATATAACAATATTCACTGTCCTAATGCAGTGAGTGGCAATCAACAAAAATCACATCCTTGAGAAACAGTATTTAATATACCTAACTATGATTATCTCAATAAATCTAAATTTTTCTTTGTTCACACATTAGGCATTAGGAGGAGGGGTTTACCTGGTTCCAGAGGAATTTGACAGCCTCTTCTTGTACTAGTTTTTGGATCCGTTCTTCATCTCTTTCTTTTTTTAACCTATAATAATTCAAAATTCATAATAAGGAAGGATACTTTGATTTGCACTTCTCATGACAACAAATAAATACATGCATTATAAAAAGATTAATAATCTAGTTAACAGTTAACTTTGTTTTTCTAGTTAACTTTCAGAGTGTCTAAGATGAAAATTTAAACTGACTCAACATTAAAACTAAACAAAATGACTGAAATTCAGACTACACTTATTGTACAAAGTATTTCTAATGACTAAAAATAAGATCAAAAAGTTAAGTGGATTTTTAGCTGGCTTCAATTTCTCAACCAAATTCACCAAAGGATATCACAAAAGGTGACAGAAAGATGTGGTTACTCAATATCTCCCAAAACAGTTAGGGACTAGGATCACAGCTTAAAACACCCTCTTCTAAGACACTAAGGGAACTAATCTCATCAAACTTCACTCCTAGTTGGCAGAGGAAATAATTCTTGCTAACATTAACACTTCCTAATCCTTTGATTCCCGTTGTTCATTAAAGTTTTACTCTGGGCTCACTGATGCCTTCTTCATACATACATACATAACAAACTAGAGTTCTTGAATTGTTCATTTCTCCTCAGCTGTTACCACCACCATTATGTTCTGAACTTCTAACTTAAGTCTCCACTTTACCTCCCAAGCCCTTCTCCTCTGTCATCTAGGAACTGCAATAAGCAAACTCCTATATATACTCCCAAATCAATCATTATAAATATTTCCTCCCAAATATCTTCTGCTCTCTTGCCCTTCTTTCTCGCCTCCTACCATATTCACCTGGAAACAAACCAATCCTAGCTGAACCAAGTTAACCATAGCTGAATCAGAACAGACAGTTGAAAAATGTTGAAGAAAATCACACAATTGCACTTTATGCTTTTCTTCACGTGGACCAGCAATCTTCTACCCACCCCCTTACAAGTGTATTTTTAAAATGAACACCTCAGACCTTTCTCCCAAAACTTCCCATGCCCTCTCCTTATTTTCAAGAGTTGATTATCTCTGGTCTTACACATTATTGAATAAAGAGAAGCATCAATCAGTCATGACTTCCCCACCCTCACCATCTGCTTCTACTTCAAGGACCCTCTGTGCACTGCATCCCTATTCTCATACCTTCTCAAGAACTTCAATTCTGTACTTCTTTCTTTCCTCTGCACCATCTGTTATATCTGTTATTTCCCCTGTATTGAACCATTTCCATCAACACACATACCTCATCTATAGCTCCCATTACAGAAGATTCTTCCTAACTCCAGATTCTCCTCTACCAACTACTCCCTTCTCTTCCTCACAGTAACGCTTACCAAGAATGTTGGCTACACTTACTCTTCACCTTCCATTCATTATATAATGCATTCTAAACTACCTTCATCTTACTTAACCACTAAATCTACTACTAGTAAGCTTGTTGTTGATTAACTCCAAAGAAATAACCTTCAAATACTTGAAATATCATGCCTGATAAAGAGTGTTTTATATAGCTGGGACCTTAAACCACACCAGACAGTTATGTTAACAGTGTGTTTTCTCGTGAATACCTATTTTGTTAAAGAGTACCATGGATCATAATGTATCAGTATGCATTCAGTGGGAACTAAGGTCTGAGAAATTAAGGTCAGTCACATAGGCACTCAAGGATGGCATGACTGACCATCCAATAAAACCCTGTCAAGGCTCAAGTGAGTTTTCCTGGTTAGTTGTGCCTAGTCTTTCTTGGATTCTACCACCTGCAAACCCATAAACAGCAACTAAAGAAAACTTTGGACCCACCTTCTAATTTCATCAGTCAGATAGATGATGTGCTCTTGCATTCTACGTAGACGGATTTCATAACGCACATCTTTGCTTTGAGTGTTGTAGTTCCTGGCATAAAAGCCCCGCCAACAGGCTTGAAGCTTGGTGGCAGCTTCATTTAATTTCTGAAGGGCCACTTTATCTTCTCCCATAGCAACAGATCTCTGGGTTAAAACCCTGCAGGGAAGTTTCGCTGAAGCTGTTTGTAACACATTTTCTTCACTGTTTACCTGTGTATGGAAGATGCTGTGTCCAACTGACTTAGGAAAAGATGTGTGAGTGTCATCTTTCAAGACAGCACTAGTGACTGTTGATTCAGGACATGATAACAGTTCCTTTTTCTCATTTACCTCAGTAGTGATTGCATTTTTCATCACTTGAACAGAATTCTCATTTGCAGCACAGAAGGCTTTTTCCCCTTTCTTATCCTTGTCTTGGTTTCGCAGTCCTTTCACAGATTCATCTACAACGCCATCATCTTCTAGACCCAAGTGAATACCTTGTAACCTCAGCTCAACTGTAGGTGAAACTGGAGAAAGTCCTGATGCAACTGGCATAAAAGTAGACTCTGAAGAAAGAAGACTGCAGTTTAACTTGTCCTCATCTGTTTGAATATCTTCCAAGTGCAGGTCATTTCGAGAATATCTTGCAGTGTGCACAGAGGCTGTAAAGTTATTCTTAACAGCATATAACTGATCATCATTACTGCTTATCCCAACCCAAGAATTGACTTGAACGACAGGTTCTAGAAGAATCAACAGAGGGTCATTTAAACCACTAAGTACATAATAGTTTATTTTTAATATCAGCCTTAATGAGGCATAATTGATATATAAATTTTTAAGATATTTAAGGTATAAATTGATTTCATATAAATATAAATTGTAAAGGAGTTCCTGTATCGATTTATTAATACACTCCTCACCTCATTTATTTACCTTTTTTCCCCTTGGTGAGTAACAAGGTATTTTTTAAATTATATCTTTTTAGTGAAATCTAATCCCTAAAATATAATGACTTCAATAATTTTCTCCAACATGCCTAAAACATCAAATCAAATATTTTTAAGAAAATGAATTCTTAAAGTGTCATTAGAATAATAAAAGTGTCAGGTCAATATAAAAGATAGCAGTCCTCTGAATGTTTTTAAACACTAGAAATGGGAATATATACATAAACACACATATACACACACGTAAACATACACATATGGTATAAAATACACATACATATTTAAAGATACACACATGGTTTATACACACACATGTATATGCATATGTAACATATAAGACCCAAATAGTTACCTAATAAAAATATGCTTTTTTTTTCCTTTTTTATGATACCTAACAGATCAAACGACTTGGAGAAAAAGTATTAGAAATCAATTAATTTCATACCATTTTCTTGGACTATTTGGCAATCTTGAATAGGGCTTGAATGCTCAGGTAAAAGGGGTGCGCTTGTTTCGGTAGGAACAAGAGAAGACAGCTCTTCATTCTGGCTTTGGTTCATTAACTGCCTCTGGTGAAACCTAAAAATCAGTAACATCTAATGTGATTTAACACAAACCAAAAAAAAAACAAAAACACAAGGTTTAACACTGTCATAAAGTTGGGAATTTACATGTTTCAAAGTAGATACCTTTAGTCATCACCAAATTACAAAGGCTCATTGGAAACCATTGGATAGAAAAGGATACACTTTCTTTTAAACTACACATGCATACACATGTACAAACATTCAAAAGCAAGGTCTCTTATAAAACAAATGACTATTAAATGCTTCTAACCATATTTGCTAGCGTTAGTAAAGTCATATGAAACACCTACATTAGAAGGACAAATACACTTTTAAAAAATCCCACCTCCCCAAACAGCTTGGCTCTCCACCTCAAAATATGATTAGCAAAGCAGCTCTATGAAGCAAGCTGGCCTGCACTTCATGACTCAGCAACCCTGCGGGGACTGCAGCAGGGACAAGGGGCCAAAGGGCCCAGAGTTGTGGGTTCCAACTACTAACCCACGAAACAGCAGGCATTTTCATTTGTGATTTTATCAGCTACTACATATAAATGTGCTTACCTCTGTTTGCTCAGAATCTTCTCCAGTTTGGCATCCTCTGCAGTTTGAAGACCCAGTGTAGAAGTGAGAGGACAGACTGTTGCCAGATACTGGACAAGCTGAACATGCTGGCCAGGGCGATATGCTCTCCCCTTACCTTGACTATAGAGCCATTCAGCTTTCAAACTGGAATTGGGAAGACACAAAGAAGAGAAAATGACACCAAGGTAAGGAAGCTACATTTTTGAGCAATAGTGATCTTCCTCCTTCTTCTTTTTTTTCTTTTTAAGATTTATTTAGAGTATTCTAATTTATTTATTTAAATTTATTTAAAGTATTCTAGCTAATAAAAACCAAATAATAGAATTAATATTTCATATTACAATTCTCAATGACATAACAGGCATAACATAATAGGCATTGATCATCAATGGCTACCAACGACACAAACAACACCCAGCCACTTAATGCCTCTCAACTGAACCTAAAAGCAGCTGCCTCTCCAAAAAGTCTGAATCTTAACCACCCCTCCACATCCAACTACCCCTGTATAGGAAATAATGAGACAGTAGCATGTCAAAGGACAAAGGAATAAACACAGCAAAATAAACGCAGTGGGAAAATGTATAGAATGAATCAGTTGAAGAACTCAACTCAAAAAAAGAAAGAGAATACAGAAGACACCACAGACTGGGTGATTTAAGAGTGTCATCTTAGACACCCAGTGAGATGGAGCCTTCAGAGGACTCTAGCCCCAATGTGTAATCTAACTGCAAGCACATGAGACTCTGAGTAAGAACCACCCAATATTGCAGCACCAGAAACCAACGGAGTAATGATAACAGATTGATGTCACAAGGCAATAAAAAATAGAACAAGAAAGAAATGTAAGAGATACATTTACCAACTGCAGTGTAGCACTGCATTAAAATTTGGTGTTATGGACTTTTTTTTTAATGTTATAATATTATTGCAGTTATTTCTTCAAGAGACATTATCTTTTAGAGACATATGCTTATATAGATATATATTCATTGACTAAATGGTTGGTAAGCCGGGTTTTGCTTCAAAAGTGGGAAGTGAGTAAAGATACCGACAGACAAGGTCAGTCATGGATTGAAAATCACTGAAGTTGCATGATGGACTAACAGGCACTCATTATACTACTACTCTGCTTGCTTTATTTTTTTTAAGGATTTATTTATTTATGCATACAGAACTGGAGTACAGGGATGGTGAGAGGACTCACTAGAGACATAGCCGGAAATAGGCAGAGTGACAAAGTACAGCAGGACAGACAGGAGAGGTCTACTATGCCATGTGTGTCACCTCCCTGGCCAGGGATCAAACTCACGCTGAAGTGGCTATAGCCAGTTTTATAGCACTGTGCCTTAACCTGCTGCACCACCAAGGAGGGCCCTCTGCTTACTTCAGCACCAACTGTAAGGCTAGTTCAACATAGCATAGACAGTCCTTAATTCTAGCATAGACAGTCCTTAATTCTCACAGCATCCTTGAAAGTGAGGATGTATTAGCCACATTTTACAGAAGTGAGAACTAAGGCTTGTATAGGCTAAATAACTTGCCGATGTCGCAGTTAATCTGTGCCAGGGGAAAAGCTGAAGCCTTTTTTGTTTTTGTTACTTCTGAACAGGTCTTATCCCTCTTCCACGTCTCTCTTTACATTACACCTTATTTCTGACTATCCAACCACTGTGCCTTCTAAATATGAAGATGTATAAATTTTTAGAAAGGATAAAAAATCTTAAATAACCAGCACATACTTTTCTGTATGACTGCATTAATGATATTAAACTCTAAATGCACATTTTAAGAAAGTTGGTATATTGACAATCTATAGTAGATAGAAGTGATCTTCTCAGAAACTTCCCAGATAACTGTGATGTTAAAGATATCTTATTCACCTTTCCTTTTGAGAAATCACATATCCATCCAGAACTCTGAGGTTTAAGCACCAGCTGACAATGTACGGTCGATAGTCAAACCCTGGAATGGAAGGCGTTGCCATCACACAAGGATTGTTCATGATCGACAATTGTTCCAGTTCAGTTAAGGATGCCAAAAAAGATATCTGGAACAAAGGACATCTTTGTTAAATGAAATAGACTATTCAGTGTCAAATGTGGGGCTTCTACTGATTATGCATCTTTGGCAGTTTAGTACATAACAATTTCTCTCTTGTTCTGAAAAGGAACAAGTAACACTTACATTATCCACTGACTTCCAAAATTCTAACAATATGGCCATCTGTGGCTCTATGGCCATATGTCCTTGCTGTACTAAGTCCCTCAGGATGTATTAGCACTGTTTCTTAGCAGTGCTAAGAACTGCTAAGAAAAATACAGAAAAATATATTTTGAAAATCTAACAGCAGCCAGGGAAAGAGACAAAATGTGCTTTTATTAACCCTTTTTATTCTCGTGTCCTTGAAAGTATATAGCAATATTCATTAAAAAAAAAAGTATGTAAGACGATTATGGGTGTTATGGAGAAAGAAAGCAGAGGAGGGGGGTCAGATATGGCCAGGGTGGTACAGTCTTAACTTTTATTTATTTAAAAGATATATTTTTATTTATTTATGCATAAACTGGGGTGTAGGCCAGAGATGCAAGAGGTAAGAGGACTCATCAGAGATCGATGTGGAGAGCAGAACAGGAGAATTACTGAAATACACTGCTGAGGGGAGCAGCCAGGATGAGACAGATGTCCGCTGTACCATGTGGGTCAGCTCTCCCAGCAGGGGACTGAACTCATGTTGAGTGGCTGGCAATAGCTAAATAGTGCTGAGACTTTATCCCCTGCACCATCAGTGAGGCCCTTGGTTCAGTTTTACTTTTTTTTTTTTTTAAAGATTTATTTATTTGTGCATACAGAACTGGGGTACAGGCCAGAGGCTCAGGGGCGGTGAAAAGCTTCACCAGAGACAGAGTGGGGAACAGAACAGGCAGATCGACGAAGTACACTGCTGAGGGGAGCAGCAGGGCGGGCCAGGAGAGGTCTGCCACGCCATGTGGTCACCTCCGGGGTAGGCGGGAATCAAACTCATGCTGAAGTGGCTTTAGCTTCCCAGTGCTGTGCTTTTAACCTGCTGCGCCACCAGGGAGGGCCTCAGTTTTACCTTTAAATACAGTACACAGGAAGACCTCATGGACAAAGTCACACTGAGTAAAAACTTGAAAGAATGAAGGAGAGAGCAAAGCAAAGATATTGGATAGAGGGAGCAATAAAGGCCCAGAAGACAGTTATGTTTAAAAAAAGAAAAGTTAATCCCTTTAATGTAGATGTCCCTCTATAACTAATCCCTTAACAGTGGATTGACAATTACAGCAATAGAAAGAAAATTAGCCCTTAATGACCCACTGACATTAAGAAAACAGTGAAGAGAAAACTGATCTTCTAGAACCAAGTTTTTCATATTATTGGCAGTTTCTTTCGAGACACTCCAGTATAAAAGTGAGTTCAGAACTTTCTCTTTCATCAATCTGGTCTTTTCAGCTTCCTAGATCTCACAGAAAACCCTCATATTTACCTCATTTAAGTCGCGGATTTCATTTTCTGCCAAAGAAAGTATTGCAAGACATCTGGGTAGATATGCAGGTGCCATTCTAAGAGAGGTGATGATGTTTCCATGTAAAAGGAGGGTCTTGAAAGGAAAAACAAATTACAAATGAAAAGATTACAAATAAGTTGTTCTATTTTGACAAAACCAATATAGTATGCAATTTATTATACTTCTTGTCACAAATAAATCAAAGACTGCTAATGATAGATGGGTCGTAGGTGGTCTTTTGGACCAAATCTCTCTTTTCACATCTAAGATTTAAGATCAAAAAAGTTTAAAGATATTCAAGAACACATGATTAGTATGGTAATTAGCATGTTGTGAGATTTAAGTTACTAAAACTTGAGTCATTTAAATCCTATTTGTTCTCTTTAAAAAAACATCAAAATTTTCGGGACTATGGTGATGGCACATGGGTGACTTGGTGATGGGAGACCTGTGGGTATTACAATTGAGATGAAAAAAAAATGTATAAAATGATGTAAAAATAAACTGTTATAAAATAAAAAAAAAATCAAAATTTTTTAAATATAAAAATATCAAAAGAGAGGCCAAGAATAAAGAAAAACATTCATTACAACTAGCATGTATAAAGTGAATTCTTAGAAAGTAAAAGAGTTATCACTCACAACCCATAATTGATAAGTGTATTCTTTGAGTAACTAAAAGCCTAGGAAGGCACCTCTTGCATGGGAAGCTAACTCAAAGCAAGTAAGCAACACTGAAGAATGAACCAATGATTGTAATACCCAGAATTCTGATAAGATAATCAATTAAAAAAAAATTATCTTAGTACACCTGAATTATCTTATTGTCTAGCCAAACGTTTTTGCCAATATTATCTACATAAAATGTTTAGAATAATTGTTGATAAAAATTATTTCTGCTAAAGATATTGGGAAAATTGAGTTAATATACTCCTTCCAAGCCTTAATGTGTTCACTGATGCCAATAATATCCAATGAAGCAAGTACAGAAAAAGCCTACATGTTTTTTGAAGCTGTGATTCCCAACCCTTATTTGACACATTCATTCCCATAAAAAGTGCTATGTTACACACTTTTTAAAATTAAAGCAAATATAATTTTCATAATTTAGTAATAGCACTCATTAAAAAGCAACAATCGGCACTCCCTGGTTGCACAGCGCGTTAAAGCACAGCATTAATAGGCTAAAGCCACTACAGCATGAGTTCAACCCCCACCCCAAAGGTGATCCGAATGGCCGGGCAGACTGCTGCTCCCGTCAGCAGTGTACTTCGTCGATCTACCTGTTCTGCTCCCCACTCTGTCTCTGGTGAATTCTCTCACCACACCTGCACCTCTGGCCTATACCCCAGTTCTGTATGCATAAATGAATCAATCTTAAAAAAAAAAAAAAAACAACAATCTTAAACATCAAAAATTAGATGGAAATTTAGGAATAATTACTCTCAACCAAGAATGTTATGTATCACTTACTAAAACTGCTAGCACTGACTGGCTGGATATAACAGAAATATCTTCACGTTCAGAGAATGGCAAATAAGAATTAGTCTTATCGACAATGACCAATTTTGTTTTTTCTTTAAAGATTTATTTATGCTGGCCCTCCCTGGTGACGCAGCGGGTTAAAGCACTGCACTAGGAAGCCACTTCCGCATGAGTTCGATCCCGCCAGCCCGGGAGGAGATCCATATGGTATGGCAGACCTCTCCTGACCCGCCCACTGCTCCCCTCAGCAGTGCACTTCGTCGATCTGCCTGTCTGCTCCCCACTCTGTCCCTGGTGAATCCTCTCACCCTCCGCATCTCTGGCCTGTACCCCAGTTCTGTATACATAAATAAATAAATAAATATTAACCAAAAAAAAAAAAAAAAGATTTATTTATGCAGGGCCTTCCCTGGAGGTGCAACAGGTTAATCCACAACACTGAGAGACTGAAGCCACTTCAGCATGGGTTCGATCCCCACCCTGGAGGTGACCCACATGGCGTGGCAGACCTCTCCTGACCCGCCCACTGCTCCCCTCAGCAGTGGACTTCGTCGATCTGCCTGTCTGCTCCCCACTCTGTCCCTGGTGAATCCTCTCACCCTCCGCATCTCTGGCCTGTACCCCAGTTCTGTATGCATAAATAAATTAAAAAAAACCTATTTATGCATACAAAAGCTGGGTTGTAGGCCAGGGGTATAAGGGTAGGGGAAATGAGAGGATTCACCAGAGAAAGAGTGTGGAGCAGAATAGGCAGTTGTACTGAAATACACTGCTGAGGGGTACAGCAGGCAAGATTGGAGAAGTCTACTGTGCCATGTGAATCAAACTGCCAGGGGATCAAACTGGTGCAGTGGCTAGCGGTAGCTTAACAGTACTGTCTTTAATCCCTGCACCATCAGGTAGGCCCACAACAACCAGTTTTAGACAAGGTCAATTATAGATTAATCAATTATTAGTTACACATCTAAAAACAAACTTTTCATATTTAATTTCTATTACTCTAATAGCATTTTTATCATGAAAAATGAACATAATCTATTCTTCATATACAGTAGATCTATTTTAAGCCAATCAGATCACTTTCTCTTAGTATTTTAGTATAAAATTTCAGAAATGACATCAGAAAACATGCTTACCTTCAGTGATACTAATTTAGATAGATCACCTATCTGGGATATATTATTATCTGACAAATCAAGGTGCTGAAGAGCTGTACAGCTATTGATTTGTTCCATTGCCTATCACAGAAAAAAAAGGGAATCACATTATTTCATGCACATAAAATCAATCAAGTAAATTCTTCTGCAGTTCCTTAGAGTTGTGTTTCCAGTTCCCTCTGCTTCTTATTGGAAGCAAATGAGCAGGGCTTAGCAAAAGGAGCCAGTGCTAATAGAATTTCATAAATTATTACATAGCAAGCTTCCTTATTATCCCTAAAAATAGAAGGCTACCAAGTGGCTCATATCACCCCATATGTTCAGAACTTGAACAAAACCTTAGTGATGACACCTGACAGTTGATATACCATAAATTTTACAAGTTAAGTGGAACCTAAAACCTTGAGTCAAATCTAGGCTGTGTAACCTTAGATAAGTTACCTAATTTCTCTGTCCTTCAGTTCCTTCATCTATATAGTAGACATATGATTATACCTAATGCACAGGCTGTCATCATATTGAGAATGAATTAAAACTGTTAATAAAATGACTTAGAATACAGTATAAACTGCTGAGTAAAAGTCAGCAATTTATATCACTTAATCCAGCATATCAAAAGACCATACACACATACACACACACACACAAAAGAACACAGATATTTACTAACTTACTCCAAATTATAGGACTGCTAAGTGGTGGAAACAAGCTAAAAATCTGACCTCCTAACTTTTAAAACAGTATATTCTCCACTATACCATTCAATATTTACTTAGGGCCTCCTTGGTGGTACTGGGGTTAAAGTCTCAGCACTATCAAGCTACTGCCAACCACTTCAGCAGGAGTTCAATACCTGGCCAGGGAGGTAACCCATATGGCAACAGACCTCTCCTGTCTCTACCACTGCTCCCCTCAGTAGTGTATTTCAGTCAATCTGCCTGTTCTGTTCCTCACTGTCTCTGGTGAATCCTTTCATCTCCTGGCACCTCTGGCCTACACCTCAGTTCTTGCATGCATAAATTTAAAGAATAATAAATCTTAAAAAAAAATAATTTACTTAAAGTTGAATTCAGTATGACATAATCTTCCTATAACTCATTCCACTGTTTGATCTACTTTTCTAAGAATAGCTGTTTCACGTTTAAAAGAATATTCTATTGCACATATATTTCAACATGAGATTTTTTTAAAGATTTATGTTATTCATGTATACGTACAAGAGCTGGGGAGTAAACCATGGAAGGGGGAGCATTCATCAGAAACAAAATGGGATACAGAACAGGTGGACTGATTGAAATACACTGCACAGGGAAGCAGTGGGCAAGACAGGAAAGGTCTGCTAACGCATGTGGGTTAGCTCCCTGGCTGGGGATCGAATTTGAACTTCTGCTGCAGTGGCTGCCCAGCCAATAGCTTTATAGAGCTGAGACTTAACCCCTGGTACCACCATGGTGACCCTCAACATGAGATTTGTAAAAAAATTTATGTCAACTGAAATTACCTCTGGAGATTGCAAGTGGACACTTTCACATTTTATTTTATTCTATTTATTTCTATACTGCTTAAGTTTTTTTTTCTACAGTAAACAATTATATAAATTAATGAAAGAAAACTTAATTACTAAAAAAAGAAACTACTTACCTTGAGATTATTTCCTGCCAAATTCAGCCATTCCAAATGTACCAGCTCCTTTAACCCTTCCACATAGCCAATGCTATTGTGAGGCAAATTTAACACTCGGAGTTGTGTAAGTTTGGCAACACCCATCATCCGTACCAGCCGATTATTAGCCACTGACAACTATGAAAAGCAGACATGTTATTATTCTTAGAAACAAAAAACAAATATATTACATTCACATTAAGGTGGTTAAAAAGATTTGTATGCATGGTCAAACACTCCCAAGTATACAAGCCTAAACTATACTTTTCTTAAAGGTTGTCTAAATATACCACAGAGTAACTGTTAGTCTACTGTTATTGTTGCTATTCCTAAACTGCAAAATATAAAACTGGGTGACCAGCCCTACACCCAGTTCAAGAGAATACATAACACAGCAACTGCTTGAGATACTCCACAAAAAACAGGGTCCAAGCCATATGTTATCTGTCAAAATCTAGAACAGCCCAAGACACAGCCCAAACACAGTTTGTTGAATGAATAAAAAAATGCTTCACCCCCATTATGAGGAAAACTCTTAACAACATATTATTTTGCCCATAAAAATCTTGTCTTACTTTAAACTTTTTTCTTTTAAACAATTCTCTAAATGTAGCATATATGTTCATCTTAATAAGCTGTCATATAAAAACCTGCAACATTTACTGCTCCCCAATCCTACAAAATTACTTTTTGCTACTTTATTGTTTTAGTTTGCTTAATACAAACTGGTCTGATGTAGCTATTTCCTCAGATAGTAATACTTACCTGTATTAATCGTCTGCATTTCTCAAGATTTTCCAATTTAATAATCTGATTTTTATCCAGAATCAGAGTATGAATATCAACTTCACAGGGTAAGTTTGCACTTAGTTTCTGTAGTCCCTGCCCTGACCAATTGACCACTGACCCTTGAAAAGAGAATGGAAATTGTTAGAGAACACAAATAAAATAGATGAACATGGGGAGGAAATTATACTCCTAAAATCTCTGTACATTTAGAGTAAAACAGTAAAAAGAATAATAAATAACAAGATTTAAAAACTAATATAATCAGGCTCTAAATGATCAGATTAAATTATTCATATTCCCCAGAAATGTCTGATTACAATTGGATTTGTGATATTCTACTCAAGTTTCTAAAATATAGTACTTTGGAATGCTCCATGTTTAAATATCAATTATTTAATACTTGGTGATTAATGATACAATTTTTGTAATTGCTTATTAATTTTTAAAATTTTCTTACATTATTATTCATTTTTGTCCAGTATTTGATTTCTCCCCTCAGGTGTAGGCCCCATAATTCTCCCATCACCACAGCACCCTTGTCGCTTGTGCTCTTCCCTCCTGTTTTGACCCTTCTTTCTCCCCCTTCCCCATTTATGCCTGAGATCTATGATTTGCTTGCAAATTCTGTCTTTTTCCTGACCCTGTGTTCAGTGTCCCTATAGTCCACCTGTAAGTAAAAACATCCAATATTTTTCTTTTTCCTTCTGACTTATTTTGCTTAGCATAATCCTTTCCAGTTCTATATTGCACAAATGGCATGAGTTTAATTTTTTGATTGCTGAATAATATTCCATTGTGTATATATACCACATCTTCATTCATCTGTTTGGGTTATCTAAGTTGTTTCCATATCATAGATAGTCCATATCATAGCTGCAATAGTAAAGACAGGAGTTCAGGTTTTCTTTCAAATGAGCGTTTTTGTGTCCTTTGGTAGATTCCTAGGAGTGGAATTTTGAATCATAGTGTAGACTATAAATAATTAAAATACGATAGGACTAAATTAGAAAGTTAAAATTATAATGGGAGGTAAAAATGAGACCATTCTACTTTCTTAACAATAACAACAACAAAAAAAACTCCATTAACTTAACTAAGAAATAGGCACAGGAGATAAACTCATGCCATTTGCGGGAACATGGATGGAGCTGGAGCTGGACAGGATCATGCTTAGTGATATAAACCAGAAAGAAAAAGAAAAATACCAGATGGCTTCACTCATGGCAGGAGTATAAGGGATCAGGAAAAAAAAAAAACTGTAATAAAGTAAAAATGAAAATCAACAAACAATATAAACCAGAGACAATCTATGGGGGTAGAGAGGGGAATGTGATCAAAACTGGGGCAGGAAGAGCACATAGGACTACGGTGATGGCACAGGGTAAATTGGTGATGGGAAGCCCACAGGGATTACAACTAAGATGAAAAAGTGTACAAAATAAAGAATGATATAATATGTAATATATGTGCATATATGTATACATTATATATGTGTACATTGTATATACACACATGTGTGTACACTATATACACATTATATATGTGTGTAGGTATATGCATATATAATAAAAAAAAGAAATAGGCATAGGACTTGAAAAAATATAAATTCCCATTAAGTAAATGAAAAGATGCACATCGTTAACCAGGGAAATGCTAATCAAAATCTCAATGAGACACCACCCGATGGGATAAACTACTATTAAAAAAAATAATAAGGGCTCTCCCTGGTGGCACAGTAAGTTAAAGTACCACATTATGAAGCAAGCTCTCCCAAGCCACTGCGGCACAAGTTCCATCCACAGCAAGGGAGCGGACCCACATTTCGTGGCAGACCTCTACTGACCCGCCTGCTGCTACCCTCAGCAGTATACCTTTTCCATCTGCTTTTCTGCTCCCCATTCTTTCTCTAGTGAACTCTCTCACCTACCACACCTCTGATCTGTACCCCAATTCTGTAAGCGTAAATAAATAAATCTAAAATAATAATAATAATAAGGGCCTCCTTGGTGGCACAGAAGTTAAAGCTTCAGCACTGTCAAGCTAACTCACAGTTCAGTTACAATAGCTACAAAATGAGAAAATGCACTTAATTAATCAAATTTATTTGAAATTGAAAAGAGAAACCATCAGAACAGCATTTAGTAGTTTCTGGAACATAGCACTCAATAAAGCACTTTAATATATCACTGGGCAAGTTACTCATTATGGTATTTTGGGCATGTTATTGATTTTCTGAGTTCTGTAAAATGGGGATGTAAATAATACCTGGGTGTAATATTGTTTTATAGAGAAAATGAGACAATGTAAGAAAAGCACATAAAACATCTTTTGCCTTGTTAAAACTGTTCTTTGTAAATAAATGTTAACTACTTATTGCTGGTTAGTGGACTTGGGAGGTGAGACAGCTAGAAGGGATGGGAACAGGGAAACTGCCACTTTCAAATTTATACACAGATTAAGGTTACTGTGGGAATGATTATGGGATATTACTCTTCTGGAGGACTTCAAGGTTTTCCATTGTCTAGGGGCTTCTAGAGCTGGGGAGTGGGATGGAGGGAGTTGTGACAGGGATCAGGAACTTGCTGAGAATTTGATGAAAACTGTGTATTGTCCCGGGAAAAAGCACAACCTTTACTCAAATTATAAGGGGTCCAAAGACCTTAGAACTATGGATCTCTCCCACCCCAGCCCTCACTCACAAAAAGTTAACAGCCGCCCGATCTAAGCACTGGAGACAGGCCAAGAAGTTGGGCCCTCCTCCGTACCCAATGGCTGCTGCTGAACCTAGGGGCTGTAACCAAAACAAAGGAGCTGGTCTTAATGCCTGGCGGTTTCCGCCACCTAAGCACCTGTACCCGCGCTACGCTGGGCAGACACCAAATCCAGTCCCAGTACTCCGTCTGCAGAACGAGAGCTGGAAAACTGTGGGCTCTGGATCATCCCCAACTCATTTCACGACCACCCGACACTTCCAAGAAAGCGTTTAACGTCAGTCTATGTAACTGTGTTTGAGAAAGTGTTTTCCGAATGAACTCAGAACCAGGCAGACAAGGGGAACGCTTGAAGCAAAAGAGAATTGCAATTATCACTTGGGCATCCAGAAATCAAAAATAAACATACATTAAAGGCCACCGCCATCTGAAGCCCACCGCCCCAGCAGCGACTGCAGCGCGGGAACCAGGGCACCCGGCCGCACAAAGACCCCTGGGGCTTGTAGTAACCTTCTCCACCCTCGCCTCCATACTTGAAAAATGGATAGCGCCCAGGGACTACAACTCCCGGTGGGCCACGCGCGCCCGCGCCGCCCACGATCCTGCATCAAAAGAATTGGTACAGACTGCACACTAAAACCAGGCTTCTTCTCTCCACCAACTATTTAATTCAACACATGGTGTTCACCTTGTAACTCCGGGTGGGTATCGCCTTACCTTCTCTGGGAGGTAAAGCCGTATCGACGCGCGCCACCGCCATACCTTCCGCTTACTAGTACCAAGCAACCGTCCTCCCCGACTCTGTAGAGCTTGTAGGCGACAGGAAGGAGCCGAAACTACCGTTCCCAAGATGCACTGCACCGGGAAGCCCCAATTGGCTGCCTACGCCTAATGATGTAAAACCAATTAGTTAGAATTGAGCCAGAAATCAGCCCAGAAACTCGAATCAACTATTTGGTGAATCGGTAAACTGTATTATTATATGATCATTTCACTACCTTTGCTAGGTGTTAGCGAAATGTGACGCTTTACCATTTGGATGAATATAGGTCGTTACTTATACAGAACGAATATACGTGCTCATTATCAAAAGTGTGGGGAAGCTGTCCTTTTTGACATTCTAAGTGACATTAAATAGTTGGTGGAGAGAAGAAGTCCTTTTTCAGTGTCCTACCCTCCTGTAGCACTGACTTGGGCGATCTTACTGAGATATCCAAAAATTGGATAAATTTTATTTTTAAATTTAGTTAAAGAATGCTTGCTGAGATACTTTTAAAATTTTATTTACTTATTTGTGTACAGGAGAACTGGGCTACAGGCCAGAGGGGAGGGTAGGGGGGGGGTGGGCAAGGGTGTTGACAGGATTCACCAGAGACAGAGTAGGGCACAGAACAGGCAGAGCAACTAAAATACACTGCTGAGGGAAACAGCTGGTGAGACAGGACAGGTCCGCTGCACCATATGGATCACCTACCTGGATAGAACTCTGCTGCAGTGTCTAGAAAAGCATCATAGTGCTGTGAGATTTAACCCCTTGTGCCACTAGGTAGGCCCCCCAAGCTAGCTTTTAACGTTATTTTTAAATGGCTGTTTTTGAATATTTAACAGAACTTCTAACCTGGGAGTATATTTAATCAGCGAGCACCTAGAATTTTTCCAGGGAATATACAGAAATTTACAATATGGTCTCCAAAGGTAAAAAATCAGGCTATCTGGAGGGCAGTAGGCTTACACTTTTGAGATGCCTATAATCACACTTCCTAAATTGTGTGATTTAAATTTTTGGACTCAAGACTTCAAGGAATAGAAAAAGAAACAAACTAGTCTTCAGGAAAGACTTGAAGGAGGATGTGAAACTGGGGCTAGGGGTTAAAAGACTTAACAGTAAATGAGGAAGACAGGGTCCTCCTTGGTAGTGCAACACATTAAAGCACAGCACTGAGAAGCTACCGCAGCCACTGCATCATGACTTCAATCCCTGGACAGGAGGTGACCCACATGGCATGGCAGATCTCTCCTGAACTGTCCACTAGTGACTCCCCTCAGCAGTGTATTTCAGTACATCTGCCTGTTCTGCTCCCCACTCTGTCTCTGGTGAATCCTCTCATCGCCCCCCCCCCAGCACCTCTGGCCTGTACCCCAGTTCTGTTTGTATAAATAAATAAATCTGAAAAAAAAAAAAGAGGAAGACATTAGCACAGGCTACCGGTGTTAATGAAGCCATGCTCACAAGAAATAAGGAAGAAAGCTAATAGCACCACAGGATGTACAAATGGAGCTTTCAGTTTCTACTACCCCCGGACCCCAACTCATACTGGCAACTTTTATTCTGAACTCTCCTCCTTCTCAAACAGCAGTATCCAAAATCTTTGATTAATTTCTGTTTGGGAAAAACTTGTAATCACACTGCTAGATTTCTAGGTAGTTTTTGAGCATTCCCTCCTTTCTGGGTTTCCTCCTCTCTCTGACTACACTTTTCTTATTTTTTCTTAAATTATCTTCCACACTGTTTTAGTCTGGAGACAAAGTTCCTAAATTTGAATTAAGACTAAAAATTTTTCCCCCTTAACTAAGAGATCCTTATACAGAAAACTCAAGTCTCATTATGTAAGTATAAAACAAAGCAAGTCTTAATGTTGCCTCCTACTAACATTTTTTCCTTGATATAGTGGTAACTGGGGAAAATCTACAGCCCAGAAAGAGAATGGTTTACAGCTCTCTCCAATTTACCTGGGTAATGACTTAGGGAAAAGATCCTGAAAACCCAGCGGGTAATTAAGCACGGGTACTTGAAAGTTTATAGTAACAGCAGAACCAGAGTTTTGTCTGGTTTATCTCAGCTAGGATCAGAAAGGGAAGGACCAATGGATTCCTTTTATGCGCCCAAGTATGTAGTCATGGCTCTTAAAGAAAGTGGCTAGATGTTCCTGCACAATCCCACATGCTTAAGTGAACAAGCAACCCTTCAGAAATCACATAAGAATTCTTCTATGCTTTCCATACGGCTTTGCCATCACTTGCCACACTTTAACTAAAATTGCCTCACCTTGTATATACCTTAAATTCTGCAAATTCTCAATTTGTAGGATTCTACTAATCAACCCCATTAACTCAGCATGGTAACATGTTGGCAGGTGAAGACACACAAAATCTTTCTTATCAGCACAGTATGCCTGATCTCTGCAACAGCTGATGGTCCTAACTCATCTCCCCTATCTCTTATCTGCCCACTACTAATGGCATGATTAAAAAACACCCTTTATTCTGTCAATACCCTCCTCAAAAACTTCCCTTTTAAATTCAAAGGCCACCATAATCTAACCTCAGCTCCTTCCCACCATTTATTCCACTAGTTTTCATTTGGTGTTATGGTTGAGATTGACACAATGTAATTTCTGACACAGAGAGTTCAAACTACTTGCACAACAAAGATGAATTTAAAAGTAAGATAGTGGCAGGAAGGAAGCTGTTATAACAGTGGATGGTAACTTTTAATAGCAGTTTCAGGAGTCTATTATGCAATTTTAGATAACATGAGGAGAGATGAGTACTTTGAAACAATATGTTTAAATAAGAATGAAAATAGTGATGTTATTCTGTTAATCACTAACAAGCACACCTGGTTAATGGAAAGAGTCTAAAATGTAAGTTTTTTTTTTTTTTAAAGATTTATTTATTTATGCATATAGACTGGGGTACAGGTCAGAGGTGCAGAGGTGGCGAGACGCTTCACCAGAGACAGAGTGGGGAGCAGAGCAGGCAGATCTACGAGGTACACTGCTGAGGGGAGCAGCGGGCGGGTCAGGAGAGGTCTGCCACGCCATGTGGTCACCTCCGGGGCAGGTGGGAATCGAACTCATGGGGAAGTGGCTTTAGCTTCTCAGTGTTGTGCTTTAACCCGCTGTGCCACCAGGGAGGGCCATAAAATGTAAGGTTTTTTAGCAAGTTGTCATAAAGTATCTTGTGATCCCAATTTTAAAGTTATATCTAGAGAAAACTATTGATAATGTCAACAACTTCTGAACCATAGATACACAAGGCTATTTACATTGGTGAATAAGCTCAGCTCCAAAACAAGACCATGGATGATGTCCAATGTTATCACCAGTTGTGACCTTAGACTTTATACTCTGTGTTCTGCACTATGAAAAATGGCAATAATTCCCAGCCCTCATCACCACTCTAAAAAGTCAATCAATTAAATCACATTGGAAACACAAAACAGTGCCTAGCATGTGGTAAACACTCAATAAAAGAAAATGGGATTTTATTGCTAAGGTAACACTGTTAAATACAAATATGTGAGCCTATTTTTAAATTTCCTAGTAACAAAAAAAGAGAAGTATGAAAATGTAAAACTAATTTAAACAAATATATTCAAAACATCATTTCAACATATAAATAATATTAAAAATATTAGTATTTTTTTACTTCTTGGAAATTCAGTATTACAATTACAGCATATCTTAGTGAGGTATTTATACTTGTAGTCACATGTGGCTAAAGTCTATTAAACGTATTATCAAAACTATCCCATTGTACTTGTCATACTACTTTGTTATCTTCACTGTTTTTTAAAGACGTATTCTTATAATCAGAAAATAAAAAAATGAAAAGTTGAATTTCTGAAGTCAGAAAGAATTGTGATTTATTTTATTAATAGGTGTCAGAGCTATACAATAAAATCCAAACATTACAAAGAGATGGTTTTGAAAGATAAAGTTAGGAAATGGGTACAGTTAGTCAGTTAAGAACAGGGTACCTAATGCCCCCAGGCCTGGTTTGCCAAGATCATTTATCAACATGATAAGGAACAATCAGTTTGGAAGCAGAAGGGTGCATCCCAAACCCAGGTACCCCAAGTCCACTTGTCAGTCTGATTGAGAAACAACTGGATGGTGTCAGGATGCCCCCTGCAATCCAATTAAAATGAAATGCTTAGAACACTAATTTATTTAAGACAATAAAGCAATGGACCAAAGCTGGTCCAGACCAGGTAACATGGGAAAACTCAGTGACACTCAGTAATGTAGGGTACCCGATGGGCCCCAATCAATCAGCAAGAGACACAATGCTAAATATTTGGGACACAGTCCTTATCCCTATACCAGAATTCAAAATGTACCAAATAATTAATTCACCCATAAATTTAGGGCCACAGCTGTTTGAAATGGCTCTCACTTAAGTGTCTCTGAGGGGTCTCTACTTATCTCTCCTCCACGTGGCTCCTTCCCTGTCTCCTTCCCAGCAGTACCAGGTTAGCAGGACATTACTGACCACAAGAATAAGAGTTCTTCCCTTTTTAGCCCACCTACCTTCCATGTTACATAGCTTTACTTGACTGCTTAGCTTGAAATTTTTCTAAGAGAAGAGGTTCCCTTAACCACTGTTATGGAACACTGACTGGATGGTTTTAGAATTATTTTTTGCTAATTTGCTAACTTTTATCGTTTAATGATACTTCTATCTGAAATTACAGCACTTATGCACAAAACTTATTTTGTGATAATTATTTGAACATTATTTAACTCACAAGTTAAAACAAATAGATTTCCATTCTCACTTAAGTTTACTGGTTATATTTTTTAGCTCAAAAAATATACAGTTTTCACATTGTTTTAGAGACCTCAGGGCAAATGCAAAGGAAATCTCCATAATTCAATACCTAGTTATGCAATTGAGTTTTCACTTAACCTTCAATTAAAATAGGATTAGTATGATGTTAAAAGGAAAATAACGAGAATAATTTATAATGGCCTTCTAAGAGATTAATATATTCAATTGAAATCATACACATGTGGATTGGTTCAATATTGAGCTGTATTTATCTGCATGAAAAGATAAAACATGTAAATTGGGCCTCCCTGGTAGCACAGGGGATTAAGGAGCAGCACTTATGAAACTATCCACAGCCACTGAAGCACAAATTCCATCCCAGGCCAGGGAGCTGACCCACATGGCCCAGCAGACCTCTCCTGTCTCCCCTACTGCTCACCTCACAGTGTATTTCAGTAGACCCTCCTGTTCTGCTCTCCACTCTGTCTCTGGTGAATCCTCTCACCCCCTGCACCTCTGACATGTACTCGAGTTCTTGTATGCATAAATAAATAAATATTTTTAAAAATATATAAATTCTTAGGTTAGAATTAACTGATAAGCATTTGTAATCAACTTCATTGATAGAGAATAATTCTGAACCCTAATTAAGTATCCTCTATCTTTCAAAAAAAATTCAGTATTTTCTTCGGAAGACCTGTTTTATAAACTTATACTCTTATTATTATAATTTAAATTTTATCAGTTCAAAATGTGAAATTTTTTTCTCTTGTAAAATAAATACCTATATCATATCCTTAACTTTTCTTAAGATTTATTTATTTATTTATACACTCAGAACTGGGGTACAGATCAGAGGAGCAAGGGAGGTGAGAGGCTTCACCAGAGACAGAGTGTGGAGCAGAATAGGCAGAATGAAGTGCATTGATGAGGGGAGCAGTGGGTGAGACAGGAGAGGTCTGCTGTACCATGTGGCCAGAGATTAAACTTGCACTGAAGTGGCTGCGGCTGCAGCTAGCTTTGAAGTGCTGTACTTTAACCCATTGTGCCACCAGGGAGGGCCATGTCATAGCCTTAATTTTGTCTCTTAGGCCACAGAACCTAAAACATTTACTATTTGGCCCTTTTACAAAAAAAAAGTTTGCAGACTTCTATTCTGGAAGAAATAAAATCTGAGAGGCCTCCCTGGTGGCACAAAGGTTAAACCTCAGCACTATGAAGCTATTGGCAGCTACTGTAGCACAAGATCCATTATCATGGGGACAGGGAGCTGCACTTTTAGCCTGTACCCCAGCTCTTGAATACATAAATAAATAAAATAAATCTTTTAAAAAAGAAAATTTGTATTCAAAAATTTTTAAATAAGTTTAAGTTTTTAAATAATATAAGTTTATTTCTACATCATTTTTTGCCTTTTTCCATCTCAGTTGTAATCCCCGTGGGCTTTAAAAAAGAAAAATTTTTAAACATTTTTTAAAAAATGAAATGAAATCTGAGTATGAGGTTAAGCAGGGGGAGGGAGAAAAGTTTACGGCAAAGAAAACAGTTTGCCCCATGACTACAAACCAATAATGATATAAAAAATAATAAGCAGTTACTACATACCAGCTATAGGAACCCCATACTTCCTCTCTTGCCTTTTGAAGCCATCAGCAGTACCAGATTCTTCCAGAAGATGGCTCCCTTTACTTATTTAAAAAAATTCTATCATGAAAAATTTCCAATACACAAAAAAGTTTACAGTGAACACTCATAAAGCCACCACTTTATCTTATCAATATTTTATGTCCGCTTTGTCACATTTCTATACATCTATCTATCCCTCCATTCATCTCATTTCTTGGTGGCTGTGTATGTTTGCCCTTATATATTTCAGCAAGTATCTAAATAACTGTTGTTCATTATTTCTTTAGTTTCCTTTCTTTTAAAGCAAAATTTACGGGGCCCTCCCTGATGGCACAATGGGTTAAAGCAGAGCACTTTGAAGCTATTCACAGCCACCGCACATGAGTTTGATGCCCAGCCACGGAGCTGATCCACATGGTGTAGCTGACCTCTCCTTTCCTGCCCACTGCTCCCTTCATCAACCTGCCTGTTCTGCTCCCTATTCTATCTGTAGTGAATCTTCTCACCACCCATACCTCTGGCCTTTATCCCAGTTCTTGTATGAACAAATAAATAAATCTTTAAAAAAGAAAGTAAAATTTATGTACAATGAGCTGTTGAAATCTTAAACGATCATTCTCTAAGTTTTGATAAACAATTACACCAGACTGAAAATGTAGAACATTACCATAACACAGGAAATTGCCTTAAATCCTTTACCAGTGAATCTCTTCTCTCCCACCACAAGTAACCATTGCACTGATCTTTTTCCCCCATCATTAAGATAGTTTTACATGATGTAGAATTTGATATGTATGGAATTATACAGTACATACTTTCTTTTTGGTAAGACTTTCACTTGGCATATGTTTTTTGGACTCATTTATATTAATAAATTCAATCCAACAGTTCATTCCATTTTATTGCTTATATATTATATAAACATATATTACTTTGCTTATATATTAATCTGTTGGTAGGACACCTAGAATGTTCTCTATATTTATCATGAATAAAAGTGCTATAAACAGTCTTGTACAATTTTTTTAAATTACTAAATAATATGGATGGCATTAACTCTTCCTATTTTTAGGACTGAACCACGGGGCTTAAAATTTTCAATCCCAGATACATTATAAATGTTTGAGACTTTTTATAAACTATCGGAGAAAGATAATTACGAGAATACATAGCAATATACTTTTTTTTTTGCATAGAAGAACTGGGATTTAGGCCAGAAGTGGGGGGTATGTGTGAAAGTGTTACAGGGTACCCCAATGTGAATTAGGTGGCCTGTCTGTGTATCTTCACCCGTGCGCTTACGATTCAATCATATTATGGATACACTCAAAAGGTTAAATAATGGATTTATTTATAAGGAGAAAGGTAAAGGAATAACCCAGGGAAAGAGGGAGAGAAACACAGGTTAACTAGGATGTCCTACCAGTTCTGCTGACTTGGACTCCACCGGCATGCTGAAAACCGATTGAGAGCCAAAATGATCAGCTGCAAACCACAGGTCTCCCCCCCAGAGCCCACAAGTGCGGTTTTATCCCAACCTGGCTGCTCAGCTCCGCCCTCATGTCCTGGAGTGCTTCTCCTTGGTACTGATGGGATTTGGAGTTCCAGCATCTGGAGTGGGGGAGGAGTCCATGTAACCTGTACCTGTTACAAAAGGATCCACCAGAGACACAGTGGGGACCAGAATAGGTAGACTTACCTAAACACACTGCTAAGGGGAGAGCAGGCAAGACAGGAAAGGCCTGATGCACCAACAATATAGGCTATTTTGATGAACCTTTCTAACACCCAGTTCAACCATCATTCACTATTTTATCAATCATTTTTTCATACATGCCCTCTCCCCCTAACCTTTCTTCAGATTATTCTGAGGAAACCCCAGGCATCATGCTCTTTCATCTCTAAATATTTACTCTCTATCTTGCAATATATGAACCCCAG